CACCAAGGTGGAATTACGAAATCTAAACATTATTTCAGACACATTCTTCCCATTAAACCTCAGTACTATTGACCTTACGCCCTTAACATCTTCACTATCCCCAACCTTTTGTGTATCCCCTAGTTTAGAACATTATGTTCTCCAAACTATCATTAGACTTTTTACACCATGGCAAACATAATGGCTCTAATCTTCAAGTAAGCTTAACAAACTTAACACATTGCCATTGCATCTGAAACCCCTTCAGCAGGTTTGCAAAGGCGGTAAATCATGAAAAGAGATTGCCCATTTTTCACTCAAGAAGCAGCTAGTGGATTCCAACCTTTGGCCTTTGGGTTGCCAGTACAGCTCCTTAACAAACAGTACTCAAATCTGAAAATAAGCCCACTAACTTATCACAGTACTACTCTTAAAAGGTTCTTCTTAACCTAAGGGTAAAATCAAGTTCCTTAACATGATGTATGAGCTCCTCCAAAATCTAGTCCGTATCTGTATTGCTGGAGCTGGGCTTCAGTGATCAGACAGGCATGATTCTTATCTTAATTCTCCCCTTACTGACTGTGCAATCTTGGAAACTACTCAATTGTCTTGTCTGCAGAATGAGACCAGCATAGTGCCTACCTGAAAGAATATTGGGATAATTGAATGGGCTAATGTAAGTCAAGTGCTTAGTCTTCTGCTCGGTTTTGAATCAAGGCCAAATTAAAGTATTAACAGTAACAGCCATAATAGAAGTATCGTTTGTATTGTTGCTGCTGTAACTTAAATCCTTTCTCATGCCCTCTGTTTCTGACTTAACAGAATCTTGACATTGCCTGAATACTTCATGCTTTTGTTAAACATCCATGGTATTTCACTTTTGTTCTCTCTACTGAGACAGGCTTTTCCTGCTACTCCAACAGTCTTTTCTTCCGGAAACTCCTCCTCATTCATATTCAAGGATGGAGCTTCCCATTCACCTGAAGCTGTCTTCAACCTCACCAGGTGGACTCCAGTGTTTGTTCTTTCAGATACCTGCTGCCTCTTTCCTCACACTTCCCCTGTAACTGTGATCTCATTGCCCTGTAATTGCTTGCAGGCCTGTCTCCTTGAAAATAGGGCTATATTTCTTCAATGCTTTGTATCCAGTAACATGCATTGTAGCAGGACACAGAAGATTCTCCATGCTCCCTAACAGAATGATGGCATTCATGATCTTGAAACACCAGAATATATTCAATGAAGAACAGGATGAATCTTTCATGGTGTGCAATAATGCCACCCATTTCCTGAAACCTGGTCTAAAGTCTGCTACTTTAGAGAAGGTTTACATAGCACTTCCAGGCCTAGTCTACGTTCCTGCTCACAGCAGGTGCCATCCTCAAGGGCACTTGATCATAGATTGCCCCACCACATTTTCCAGTCATTTCCTTTTTATTGCTTGTTTTCCTTCCAGACTGAAAGCTTTTGAAGCAGACAGTTCATCTTACGTTTTGTAACTTTTGTGTGCTGGTTTTGTAATTTTTTTTCTGTGCTGGTTTGTCCCCTGAAAAAGTGACAGTAATGGAATTTCCGTCTCTTTGAGACACAGGATATTGACCTCAACCATCATTAGGTCAACAGAGCTCTGGTGGCATAATCCATATAGGGTGCAACTGCCAACCCAAAGGCTCTCTGACAGTTCGAATCTCTCCTTGGCTCCCCAGCCCCACGCATTCCTCCTAAACAAAAAATGGCACTGGAGGTTTCATAGAAATATGAGGCTTTGGGTAGAAGGAAAACAACTTCAGTATTGAATACTACCTAGAAAAACTTCCTTTCCTGATCTTGACACAGTCACCTCCTATGCCTACTAGCAAATTCCCTCTTATTCTAAAGCCCAAGATTTTCTATTTAGCCCTTCCATACCCATAGAGTTAGGGCAACTTTGTACAAGAGCTAACACATGGAGAGTCCACTTACCACAAGTGTTGGCCTGGTGAGGTGAGGAATAGATTACTCAGGAAGCTTTTTAAAACACCTCGTTGGGAGCTCTAGTGACCTAGTAGGTGAGGGATTGCACTGCCACTTAAAGGCAAACAGTTTGAATCTACCAGTTGCTCCACGGGAGAAAGATGGGCAGTCTCCTGTGTAATTTGCAGCTTTTTTTTTATTTATTAAATTTTATTAGTTTTAATGAACATTTACAGGGATTTTGGGTTTTCATTCCTTCATTGCTGCACCATTCTCTCTACCCTCCTCCCCAGTTTGTTCTTCTTCCCCACCATCCGAATGTCTGTTTTAATTGTCCAATTGCCACAGTGCTTGTCAAAGTCAGTTCTGATTAATCTCCTTTGTCGGTGTGTCCTTTGCCATTCCCTATCACTCCTCCTTGAGAGAGACTTCACCCTGATTCATAAGGAAAAGGGGATGGCGTATTCTCTTAGCTACTTCCTGCTGAAAAGGGACGCTGTGGGTTTCAGGGTGAAGATCTTCTCTCACTACTGTAAAGGGCCCCTTTGGCAGTAGGAAACACATAGACTATTATGGAGATTGATTTTGGAATTTAGATGCACTCTTATTGATTGTGCTTGGCCGTACATGTTCATATCCTTGAAGATGTATCATGGGGGGGTTGCAACCTAGAAGACACAAATTTGACTAACAAGTTATAAGTACATGAGTCAAAAATGATGGAAAAGTAAAAGAAAGGATTCTTTCATTGTTTTACAAACCCTCCCCCAGGTCCCCTCCACCATGTAGCCCTCGCTCTAGACTCCTGTGATGACAGAAATACCTAGTCATATATCTCTTTTAAACAGTTTTCTCCCTCCTCTGTTTCAGTGCAGTATACATTATTGAACCCATCTTACTCAGTCTCTCCCCAACCCCAAGGACAGTCCCATTCTACAACAGTGGCATCATGTAATATTTGTCCTTTTGTGACTGGGATATTTCACTCAGCATAATGTTCTCCAGAGTCAACCATTTTGAATAATATTGCATGAGTTCCTTGTTTTTTAATGCAGCATAGTATTCCATTGTGCGAATATACCACAGCTTCTCTAGCCATTCGTTTGTTGATGGGCACTTAGGTTGTTTCCAGCTCCTTGCTATTGTGAACAAAGCTGCGATAAACATGGGTGTGCATATATCTGCTTGGATGTCAGCTATGGTCTCTTCAGGGTATATTCCCAGTAGTGGAATTGCTGGGTCAAATGGTATCTCTATTTGCAACTTTTTGAGAAAGCACCATACTGCTTTCCACAGGGGTTGCACCATTTTACACTCCCACGAACAATGAATCAGGGTTCCAGTTTCTCCATAACCTCGCCAGCATTTGTTGCTTGATGTTCTGTTAAATTTTGCTATTTTGACTGGGGTGAGATAATATCTCATAGTTGTTTTAATTTGCATCTCTCTTAGGGCTAGGGATTTTGAGCATTTCTTCATGTGCTTGTTAGCCATCTGAATGTCGTCTTCGGTGAAGTGCCTGTTCATATCCTGTGCCCATTTTTCTATTGGATTATTTACCTTTATCTTGTTGTGGTGCTCAAGTATTTCATAAATTCTGGATATAAGTCCCGTATCTGATATGTTATTACCGAATACTTTTTCCCAGTCAGTGGCTTCCCTTTTTACCCTGTTGGAGAAGTTTTTGGATGTGCATAGGGATTTGAGTCTTAGAAGATCCCATTCATCTATGTTATCTTCTCCTGGTTGTAGGTTTTCCAGGATACTGGGAAGACTGTTTATGTTGTGGATTAGGACTTCTAGTGTTGTTCCTAGCTTTGAGAGGGTCACTTATGACTCTACAACAATGAGTTGAGTTGATTTGAGTCGCTTTTGATTTGATCTTGCTTTTAGTTGCTAAGATAAAGGTATATCAGATAAACAGTATCTCTATGTTCAAGAAATCAATACACATTATTGATAATTAGCTGGAGGTAGTTGCTGTCCTTTAGGATCACATAGTCTGATGGATGAGACCCTAAGAGATCCCCGAAGATATGAACACAGAAGAACGTGTTGTTGTTAATGGCCATTGGGTTAGCTCTGACTCATAGAGACCCTTTAAACATGAGAAGGAAACCTCATCCAGTCCTGGCCACCCTCATTATCTTTGCTGTGCTTAAAATAATTGTTGCATTCAATGTGTCAATCTTTCTCGTTGAGGATATTCCTTTCCTTTGCTGACCTATGATTCAAAGCAGGAAGTTATTTTCCAAGTACTGGACTCTTTTGTAATCAAGAGTATGTGAGACAAAGCCTCACCATCCTTCGTAGAAGACTCTGCTGGACTTCTCCAATACAGATTTATTTGTTCTTTTGGCATTCCATGATTCTTTTTTTTTTTCCACTTTTTAAGGTGTGCACTTTTATTCAACTGGTCTCAAGTCAGTGTACAGGTAAAGCCCTAGCTGCCTCCACATCTCAGCCATCCCAGGGAGAGCAAAAGCCTTCATATTTCTAGAGTTGAGGGAAAGGGCAAGGGCCCCCAAAAAGTAGGGCCACTAATGGCTGACTATTGAAAAACAAAAACTAAAGAACAAGTATTAAGGTGGAAGATTTAAAAAAAAAACCTGGTTAAGGTATAATTTACATAAAAGCAATGCCCCCTGCCACCCCTGTCCGTGCGTGGACCCGGGGATGGGGCTCTTCTGCTTAGGGGAAGGGAGAGGCTTCTGGAAAGGCAGGAGCTTCCTGTCACATCGCCATGTTGATTATTTGGAATGACTATTTAAAAAAAAGAGAACAATGTACAATCAAAGTCCTGGGCCACATTGGAGAACTGGGAGGATTCTTGCTCCACACAAACTGCTGGCACCCTCACCGTTCCAGTTTTTAAATCCTGAGTCAAGCGCAATCAATCAATTAATCAATCAATCAATAACTAAATAAATAAATAAAATTTAAAAAATTTTTAAAAAGAAACAAAAAAGTAACAACTAAAGCCATACCAATCCTCATCCTTTGTTTTTTTTTCTGTGCAAGTTAGGTTTTTTTATCAAGAAAGGATGTAACGCAACTAAACAGTCCGCCTAGAAGCATTTGCAGTGGACGATGGAGGGGCCAGACTCGTCGTACTCCTGCTTGCTGATCCACATCTGCTGGAAGGTGGACAGGGAGGCCAGGATGGAGCCACCGATCCACACGGAGTATTTGCGCTCAGGGCGAGCGATGATCTTGATCTTCATCGTGCTGGGGGCCAGCGCTGTGATCTCCTTCTGCATTCTGTCGGCGATGCCTGGGTACATGGTGGTACCGTCAGACAGCACTGTGTTGGCGTAGAGGTCCTTGCAGATGTCAACATCACACTTCATGATGGAGTTGAAGGTAGTTTCATGGATGCCACAAGACTCCATGCCGAGGAAGGAGGGCTGGAAGAGTGCCTCGGGGCAGCGGAAACGCTCATTGCCGATGGTGATGACCTGCCCATCGGGCAGCTCGTAGCTCTTCTCCAAGGAGGAAGAGGAAGCCGCCGTGGCCATTTCCTGCTCAAAGTCCAGGGCAACGTAACAGAGTTTCTCCTTGATGTCACGCACAATTTCCCACTCAGCCGTGGTGGTGAAGCCGTAGCCTCGCTCGGTGAGGATCTTCATGAGGTAGTCCGTCAGGTCCCGGCCAGCCAGGTCCAGACGCAGGATGGCATGGGGGAGGGCGTACCCCTCATAGATGGGAACAGTGTGGGTGACCCCATCGCTGGAATCCATCACAATGCCAGTGGTTCGGCCAGAGGCATACAGGGACGGCACGGCCTGGATGGCGACATACATGGCAGGGGTGTTGAAGGTCTCAAACATGATCTGGGTCATCTTCTCCCGGTTAGCCTTGGGGTTCAGAGGGGCCTCCGTCAGCAGCACAGGGTGCTCTTCGGGGGCCACACGCAGCTCATTGTAAAAGGTGTGGTGCCAGATCTTCTCCATGTCGCCCCAGTTGGTGACAATGCCGTGCTCGATGGGGTACTTGAGGGTCAGGATGCCTCTCTTGCTCTGGGCTTCGTCCCCCACGTAGGAGTCCTTCTGGCCCATGCCCACCATCACGCCCTGGTGCCGAGGGCGCCCCACGATGGAGGGGAAGACAGCCCGGGGGGCGTCGTCACCCACGAAGCCGGCCTTGCACATGCCGGAGCCATTGTCGACCACGAGCACAGCGATGTCATCATCCATGGTGAGCTGGGGGTGGCGGGTGTGAACCGGCGACGGTGACTATGCGAAGGGGCCTGTGCTCCGGGGCAGAAGAGGTGTCGGCTGTCGGCATTCCATTATTCTTAATAACGCCACAAAGTCAGCTGCCAGGGGCCTCTCCAGAGTACTGGAGAGCAACATTGTCACTCTGAAGACTAAGGTGTTCCTATCCAGGCCATAGTTTTTACAGTTGCTTGCTATGCATCAGAGAGCTGGACAATGACTAGGGATGATAGAGAATTGATGCCTTTGAGCTGTTGTGCTGGAGAAGAGTGTCAAATATACCATGGACTTCCAGGATAACAACAAGACTTGTCCTAAAAAGGATGAAGCCAGGCTGCTCCTTGGAGGCAAGGATTCTCAGGCTTCATCTGACATATCCTGGGCATGTTGTAAGAAGGGACCAGTCCTTGGAGAGGGACATCAAGCTTGGAATGGTGGAGGGACAGACAGAGAACGAAAGGAAGACCGTCGATGAGATGGATTGATATAGTGACTAGGGTAATGAGGGTAGGTATGTCAGAGACAGTAAAATTGACACAGGAGAAAACAGGTTCCAGGGATGTTGTTCATAGGTCACATGAGTCCCAAGTGACTCAACAGCACATAAACAACAACAACAACACGATTCAAAGTCATCAGTTCTTCTTTGTTCTTTCTAGTCACATATATATGAAGCAATTGAAAATATCATGACTTGGTTTCAGACTTACTCCTTAGAACTTTCAAGACGTTCTTGGCAGCACATTTGCCCAACTTAATGTAACATTGGGTTTCCTAACTGCTGTTTCCATGTGTGTTGATTGTGAATCCAATTAAAATGAATTAATTGCCAGTTTCAGTGCTTTTTCTGTTTATGATGATGATGATGATTATGTTTATTATGTTGCTTATTAGTCCAGAAATTCCATAAAGAGGAAGAAAATAACATGAACAATAGATAGAAAACAATCTATGGTCTATGGTCTATGCATTCACTTGTATGGGATAGAATAAAATAAGATTCTGAGTAATCAGAGCTTCATGGATGCCATGAAGGAGAAGAAAAGTTGCTTTTGAAGGTACTGTCCTTGTCACCGTAAAGAGAAGTCTCGAGATGCATAATTAACTTTAATATAGTGACCTCTACAAAGTGTTAAGATGCAGTGTTATCAGTTTAAAGACTAAGATGCACCTGATTCAAGCCTTGGGCTTTTCAATTACTTCTTAGACACTTGAAAGTTACACAGTGAATAAGGATGACAAAAGAAGACTAAGAACAGTGCTGTTAGGGAAGAGCACGGAATATCTCGTGGGTCTTGGGGAAAGTTCAGCCAGGCTGCTCCTTCATCTCACACACATTGGGCATGTTGTTAGATGGTGTCCTTGAAAAAAAAATCATGCTTGGATAGCTAGATCCTCAACAAGATGGATTGACACAGTGACTGTTACAATGGACTCAAGTATGTCAGGACGATGAGGATGGCACAGGATTGGACAGAGTTCAGATCCATTGTTCATAGAGTCACTATGAGTCGTGATTGACTTGACAGCCCCTAACAACAACAACAACAACAACAACAACAGTGTCCTATTAGGGACCCTGGGACAGCCAAAAAAAAAGATATGAGGTGAAAACTAAAGAAGACTTCATGTACTATCACCGAAACCAAACCAAGCCCACTGCCCTGAAATATTTTCCAACCCACAGCAACCATGTAGCACAGAAGAGAACTTCCCCCTTGAGATTCCCAGACTGTACATCTTTGTGGAAACAGACCATGTCATCTTTGTCTTTGCACTACCGCAACTCCTCAAATAAGCTGTTGTTATCAAGTGTCCTTGGGTTGTAGACAACTCATAAGAACCCTATGAATCAAAGTCCTGAACATGCATAACTTTCATCATTTCTCAAAGCTCATAGGGTTTCCGGAGGCAAGCTATTTCAGAAGTGGATGCCACTTCTGCTTCCAAGCCTGTTTTAATTTGAGAGCTCCACCAAACACTGCCCACCATGGGTAACCATTATCGCATTTGACACATCAGTGTCACAGTATTTATCATCACAGCAACCACAAGTTACCCCTGTACAGCAAATTGACAGAACAGTTCTATATTAGAAGAATGTTTGACTGAAAACAATTAAAACCAGGCCTGAGGGGCCAAAATGTCTTTTTCAATAAAAGGCCAAATCCAATCAGCTCACACCCAATTGTGAGCAACAGGCCACACCCAAGCCTCAGCCAAAACAGAACCTTACAAAATAAACTGTAATGTTAATTAATAATAATAATGTATCAGTGTCACTCCATTATTTAAAATGTGCTAATGTCAAGCACAAAACCAAATTTGCAACAGTACAGCAGTGGGTTAAGAGTTGAGCTACAAACTGCAAGTTCAGTAGTTCAACCCACTAACCACTCTGCACGAGAAAGAGGAGGCAAACTACTTCCAAAAATATTCACAGCCTCAGAAATCCTAATGAATGAAATGGAACGCGGAACATATGGTGTATGTATGTGTATTACTCTCTAAATTTTTTTTATAAATCTAAAACTGTTCTAAAAAGTCTATTAAAAATGGGGAGAAGGAAGTCATAATGTCTCACAGTCTTATAGAACAATCCTGGCTTGGTGACAGAAAGGAGTCAGTGTGACAGTGACTGGCCTTTCTTAAAAGAAGTGCCTTTGTTGCTTCACGCCACGTGTGTGGCTTGATCATCAATTCCTATAGTATTTTGAGCTGTTGCTTGCTTTCTCATGGTTGATTTTTGGCAGGCAGCAGCAGCATTTGTGCACTGATTATAATTTTGAGATGCATTGTCAGTAACCAGGGTGTATAATGGGTCTTCATCTCTAATTACTTTTCTCTCCACAGGTGCCTGGAAAAGGCCCAGATGGAAATGTGCACAACCTCCGCTTTGAGGGGATGGAGAGACAGTACGCCTCCTTACCCAGGTAGATCACTGAGGGGCCCCCTCACCAACTCACCCGCAAATGAAGTCTTTAGAGAAATGTGCATGAAATAGGAATCTGGCTTAGACACAGGGAATATGTTCTCCTTGCGCCTTGCTGCCGTCTGCTGCAGCCCCAGTGCCATCTTCACAACTGTGCTAATAATTGGAACACTTGTGGGTTATTTGTTAGGGGAAGAAAATAGTATATCATTGCAATTGAACATGTCAGCAAGAATATTGGATACTGAATGGAAATCCTAAGTCATTACTATAAAAATGGTATTGAACATCCTGCACCAATCTTAGACACGATGAAATAGTAAATCCTCTGTCCTACCTAGGAGTTACCCATGAGGAATGGTGGGCCAACGTTAACCTTGGAGCTTCATGTGGGTGTTAAAAAGCAGGAGAGAAATGTGGACCTGGGAAGGTGCTCTTAGCTTGATTTAGAACCCGGTGTGCCCTCCAGCAGGAGGCAATAGCAGAGACATAGTGGGGGTGAGGGAACAACAGCGTGGGAAACCTTTGCTTGGTGCTTCTGGCCTAACACGATCCACTTATGCTGTAACTGCACACCCCTGAAGATGAGATACAATTCTTAAAGGTTTGGCCTCTTTACGCGATTAAGAATAATTTCCTTCTGCTATCAGTAGCAAGTGACAAAGAAGAGACCTTTTCCAGCCCAGTTACGGTGGGAGTTAGAAGAGTTGACAGTGTGAGAATGAGTGAGTTAGACAAACAAAGACAAGGTTAATGTCAGCCAGAAAATGGCAACACTGTGGAGTATCGCCCTTTAAAAGGTAGGATGAATCCCAAATAGAGCTCCTTTATCCTCAAAGCTGGGTCGTGAAAGTGCTAACTTGGAGATGGGAGTCAGCGCTTTGAGTCTCGGGATGATTATACTGCCGCATGTGAATGTGTAAGAAATCATTTCCTGCGGGTCCCAAATGGTGCACACAATTAACGTGATCAACTGCTAACAGAAAAGTTAATGGTTCAGGTATACCCAAAGGCTCCTCAAAAGAAAAGCCTGATAATCTAGTTCCAGGAAACTGACCTTGGAAAGCCCTATGGAGCAGAGTTCCCTAACATCCGTGGGGTTACCATGACTTCACTCAGCAGTTACTAGCTGTGGTACTTTGTTGTTGTTGTTATGTGCTGTGGAGTCGAAACCAACCCATAGTTGACCTGCCTGTGGGTTTTCCGAGGCAGTAAATCACATGGAAGGGGACTGGCCAGTTTCCTTCCTCAGAGCAGTGGGTGGAGTTGAACCACGTCTTTTTGGGTTGGCGGTACAACTCCATACCACTAGGCCACCAGTACTGCTTTTGAGTGTCATCTGCTCATGTACATGGTATACAGATTTTTCAAAAAGACTAAGATCTCAAATATAGTAGACAATACATGTGAGCACTAATTAGGTTAGATAAATAAATGGTAATATTTTAAGAGTTTGTTCGCTACAGTATTACTAATATACCTCTGGCGGTTTTCCCATTAAATTCATTCACACACACACAGAGAATTGATAATTTTGCCCTTCCATTTAGCCCATGGAGCTAAATAATTTCATAATTGAAAATTTGAGTATTCTACCATGTTGCATATTTAACACTTTCCAATCATTATCCTAATAGTCCTGGTTATTCTTTTTGTTTTGTTTTTGTATTCTTGAGGGACATAGCAATAAGCATTTTTTTAGTTGATACTTTATTAGCATTATTTTTCGTGCCTTTCAAAGTTTACTAACCTTCAACAGAATTTAAAAAAAAATGGAGGGTGGAGCTCCACAATAAAAAAAAAAGAAGAAAAAAGAAAATTTCACCATAACCTAGTTGTTATTTGCTGTCTAGTCAATTTCCACTCTTAGCAACCCCACGCGGGAGAGTAGCACCGTCCCTTAGGATTTTCTTGTCTGTAATATTTATGGAAGTAGAATGCAAAAAGACAACTGCATTTTATTTATCTCCCTGTTTTCTTTTTTTAATATATGTTGTCTCATAGTTTTTCCTCACCCCCTAATTTCTTTCCTCTCCTTGTTTTACCCTGGCCTAGTATTTTATTTTCCTTAAAAGGAAGAAATTGTTTCCAACTTTCATTTCCAATCTAAAATTTCTGGCTCTCAGTGTTGAAGTGAATGGGAATTGTGGTGAAGGCAGATGGGAAATAGTGTGTTCTTAGAAGGGAGGGGAAATGCAAAACTGGAAACAGTTTCATGTCTTCTTGGCCAGCTTGTACTCAAATTATAGAAATAGATTTTTTTTCTTTACAAATCAAAAGCACAGACATGACATTTAAAATTCAATATGATTTATTCATTAATTCATTCCCATAAGTCTATGCATCACCTACCATGTATCAGGCCTTGCTCACAACGGTGAGCAAGTCCTAGAGACCTACTCCCAGTCCATTCTCAGGGCCTCGTCTATTAGAAGAGGTCAGAGAATCAACACTTTATGACAGTCAAGCAAATTATTAGGCTAACAACATGAAACTCTCCTAATTCCTAATTCCAGTTTCTTTCCGTTACTAATCCCTGAAATGATCAATCCTGGCTGACTATAAACAAGTCTGTATTGGGGTGAAACACAGGGGTGGGCCTTTTCAGACAAAGGTTAATTTATTTGTGCTGTTTATGATTTGGAACTATCATCGTGGTATACAAATGGATAAAATCCTGCCAGCCCCGTGAATGAGTTATAAGATGGGTATTAAATAAACTCACTGTAACAGAAAGGAAAGTATCTTTGATGGAAAATTATTTTGACAGACAGTACACTCAAACAACAGCAGAAGCATTGAGCTGCACTTGCAAACACCCCTTTGTAGCTACCTGGCAACCAAGAGTAGCCACGGTGCAGAACAAACAGATGCCAGCCAGCACGCGGCATTGATTTTTCAATGGGGGAACTCAAACTCTGGTTTCCATCTAAGTGTCTAAATGGAAATGCAGAGTACCCTGCCTGGGTATGGAATGCCATGGGGTGGGGGTTCTATTTATTCTATGGGATGCAGCATGCAGAGGCGAGGGGGCACACTGCTGGCTTCTAAGAAAGCATGCTGGCTCCTTCCTGAGTGCTAGTGACATTTACCCAGGCATTCTAGTCTCGCCCCATCAAGAGCTCCCTGACCACTTGATTGCAACACACAGCTTGGCGTCGTCCTTCACCAGGAGAGTGAGGTGAGCCCATCCCCACAGCTCTGTAGGCACCAGATCCTATCTTCATCAGAAACAGGGAGCATTTAAATATTGAAGTTCAATTTTTAATTGAAAATAGAAAAAACTGTCTATAGGAAGTCGGTGGCCAACCATAAAGGAGACTTAATATACTGCTGATAGGCTTCCTAAGTGATGTGTAGAGAGCATCACGGGCGTTTTTAAGATAAACTCAATAATGTTGATGGATAGACTAAATTTGGAGGCATTGACACAGAGCTAAAATGCCCCCTGGGCACAGGGTTGGGAAGGAGCCCGGTCAGGGGCCACCCTCCTATGCTTTCATGGAACTCTGTCATCTTTAAAGTAGGTCGATGTGGCCTACTGCCAGGCTAAATGACACTAAACAAAGCAAAGCCCCAGCCCAGGCTGGTGCAGGAAAAAGACAGTTCCTCGCACTGGGTAGTTATGAGGTTGCCTAAGGCTAAGGGCTAAGCGATGTTAAGTGTTATTGTTAAGCAATGTTAAATCTTCTGTCTCTGAAGAAAAATGACTTTATTTCTTTTCTCCTGAGAGTGCTGTTTTGGAAGGCAGAGCATGGTTGTAATACAAGCTCGTTAACTGACACCAGGCTTTACTAAGGCGGGCATTTTACCAACCTACCCAGGCCTGGTTGACACAGTGGTTAGAAGGCGTGACTACTAACTGAAAGTTAGTAGTTTGAATTCACTACTGGCTTTACCAGTAAAAGTGGAGGAAATCTACTTCTGTAAAGGTAACAGCTTTGGAAACCCTATGGACCCTTCTACTCTGTCTTTAATATCTCTGTGGATTCAGGTTAACTTAGTGATAGAGGGCTTGGTTTTGCATATGCAGCCCTAGAGGATTTGAGTATGTTGTTGTTGTTGGATGTCACTGAGTCAAGTACACCTCCTAGCAAGCCTATGAACAACAGATCTGAACCCTGTCCTCGCCTGTGCGTCCGCACCATCTCTGATTGCTCTATTACTGCAGTTTAAGCAGAATGAAATCAGCATTTTGCTGCTCTGGTTTGGCACCGTGATTACTCATCCCAGAAGAGTCCGTAAGTGACTATTTTCTGGGTTGCTGTAAAGCATGAGCATCAACAGAGGTTTCTGCAACTGGCTGCTCCATCACCCCTGTCCCCCACCCCTTTCTGTTCTCCCAGGTCCCATTCTAGTTTTACAAGCCTCAGGGTGGTCAGTCCCTTCAGCAGTGAACTCTCTCCCTCCCAGCTCCAGCTTCCATCGTTCCCACCTGGCCCATCACAGCCCCGCGGGATCCCATTATCCCCATCCCTGCAGATGGCTCAGTGCATCAGCCCACGATGTTGCTCTTCCTGGCTTGCAATCAAGTGCAGAGTCATAAGTGGTGAGCAAAAGGCGCTGCTTTTATTCTGTAGGCCTGCATATTTGGGTGGTGAAAGGTTGCTGGAGAAAGTCATCAAATTGCTCGATATTCATTGGTTCCACTACAAAACTCCTGCTCCAGAGCCCCCGCTGGGTCCCTGCTGCAGTCCAGCATTCCTTTTTGGTCCTGTTGTTGACTGCATTGACTACCCCACAGCGGCCCTAACAACCCTTTTCTACTCCCATTAAGTTCTGGGAGGATGACTGAGCCCCCAAGCCCAATCTCTGGAAGTGGCCTCACTTCTTTTTCTTTATGACCCTGAAGCAAATAGCATCAGCTCTTCAGCTTCTGCTCTCTGACTTTCAGCTGCTGTGTCTTCACCAACACACTTCCCAGGGGTCCACAATGAGGACAGGGGTCCACAATGAGGACAGGACTTCGGGCTCCACCGCTCCTCACCTGTGTGGTCTCAG